GTGGAAGAGGGATTACACTTGCTCTACCAGGCTCCAGAGGTCGGAACCCTGACAATAAATCAAAGTTACAAGGAGAAAACAAGGGGAGGGTGAAGAGTATAGCTCAAGAGGCATCCAAGCTGCATGATCACAATATAAACTCCAGGTTTGCTTCCTGTCCAGATCCCCTGGAGGTGTCCAGTGAATTTTCTTGTTAGCATTTGGGCAACCACATGGCTCCATCCTGAGGCTGTGCTCTACCAGCCTCCCAGACAACAGCCTTCTCTGGGGACAAACCCATGAGCTAGGATTTCTGTATTCATAAGCAAACACCAGCCTGGAGATAAGCAGGTTAATCCCTAACCCTTGTCCTTCAGCAAGCTCTTTAAAATTTACATAAGTTGGTCTACTTTTCTCCATTTTTTTCCACTTGACTATCTTAGTCTAAGTCGTAATCACCTCTCTTCCCTGTACAACTACAATGTCTTCCTAATTGGTTTCTCTCTTTTACTCTTGCTACCCCCGCCCCCAACTTATTCACTACCTAGAAGCTAAAATAATAGTTTTCCTAGGATACAGAAAAAAAATCATTGACAGACTATAAGACTGAAAGTGGAGACTTCATCTCCAGCCTTCACTGGATGTCACCCCTGCTTGCTTGGTGTACTCCAGTGAAGGTGGCCACCTGTTAGGTTCCACATTCATGCTAACCTTTCCACTTCAGGACATTTGCACATGCTGAAACACTCTCCATCACCTTCTGCACCCCAAATCTCAGATGTCATTCCCTAGTTTTAATCCTATAATGGGATCCCAACATGGGAAGGAGCCTTTGTGTGGCTTATCAGACTTCGTGTGACCTAGTCACAGCCTACCAGTCTGCACCTACTATCTCTAGTCTCCTAACTAGGCTCAGTATGAATGAGCCTCAGCCTCACTGAGGAATGAGGGAGATGTTGGTGCATTTGAGGAACTCAGAGACATGTACCAACATCCCCCTCATTCCTCAATCTTTATGCATCCTGCTTCCTAAGTCTGGAAAAATCTTGTGGCTAATTCTTGATCACCTTCAGGGCTCGGCATGAAATATCACTTCCTCAGGAGGCCTTACCTTACCTCCACATACTGGGTGGGTGTCTCTGGTATGTGCTTATAGCAACTCTAATTATTCCATCAGAGCGTTTTTTTACTATTCAATTGTAACTGTATTTCCTGCTATTTGGTAAATTATATGAAGGCAGGAATCACATCTATATTGCTCAGAACTGTTGAGCAAATGACTTTATTCTTTAAATATGACTTTCCCCCATGAATGAGCATATGAAAGTCAAAAAGAACCCAGGAAAACAATAGATCTCAACAGGAAGTATTCCAATAAGTGGTATTTCTTCCTGGAATACTGAAGCAAATCTAGAATTCCGACTCAATTTCCCATGTCCTAAGGGAAGGTTCATGTGTTGTCATTTTTATTTTCACTAGCTGGCATAGTAATTATTCTTTACCAGCATTTGAATGCCCAGGGGCAATCTTCAGTAGGCACACAAAAGGATCAATAAGTACTAAAGAGACTAAAAAGATAAATAATATTGAATTCATAAAATGGCAGGATAAAAGAAAAGTAAATTAGGAAAACACTGGAGGATGTAAGACTAATAAGCAAAAAATAAATCACCCACAGTCTGCTTCCCCCAAAGGCACAAGCAGCTCCTGTTAATTTGATAAAATTGCTTCATGTGAAAGATCTTCAGAATCCTAAAACCAGAGCCCTGGTCTGGACCTTGGTGTGGATTCAGGGCAGAAATATAACAAACAGAAGCCAGGAGACAGCGCCCTGTGTCCCCTTCCCTACTCTACCTTTGTCAGTTGGGAGACTTTGGACAAGTTACAAGTCTTCTCTGAATTTCAGTTTCTTTACCTAAGGGGGCTACATAAATTAATGTGGTAGAAAACTGTAGTTCTCTACTCATTCTCATTCCCTTCTTTCTTGGTAATGGAACCCGATTTTTAGCTGGGCACACTAATGTCCCACTAAAACATAACATTTCTCAGCCAACCTCCACAACTAGGAAGCCAATGAGATGTAAGTAGACCTGCTGGGTGGGTCTACTGGAAAGTTCTGAAAGAAGAGATTGGCCATTCGTCTTCCCACTTCCTGACACAGAAATGTGATTGATGGCTGAGACCTTTTAAACTGTAAATCAAGGGCAGCACCCGAAAGGCCAAGAAGAAGAAAGCTGGAACCCAGATGACCTAATGAAAACACCACAACAAACTCTGGACTATCTACTTCCACATTCCTTTATGTTAGAGAGAAATACACTGCTTGTCTCATTTCAAATTGGATGGCTTTGTAGAAAGATTTCCCTTTATATTTGGCCCCAGTTGGCCTATTTGGGTGCATTGGTCCTGCCTGTCTCCTTGGGAGCAAGACGTTCCATTCTGTCCTCCTTAGCATGCCAGCCCCATGGATATTTAGAAACACTGGGATGTGGTCTGAGAAAACCTGAGTTTCCATGGGATCTCAGGCAAGTCGCTTAAGTGCTCTAAGCCTTGTTGTTTCTCCACAAAATGAAGGTTACTTCCTTTCCTTTATTTCCCCAGAAATATTGTTCAGAGGAAAGAGCATAGGTTTCTGAGTTACATATGATTTCAAATTACTTAATGGCTATATGATGTTGGGCAAGCTACTTAACCTCTCTGAACTTCAGTTTTCTCATCTTCAAAATATCTTACTTCACAGAGTATTCTAAGGATTGGATGAGATATCAAATACGAAACACTTAGCCTAAAGACTTTCATTTGCAAACCCAATATCTTACTATAAAATAGTAGTTACCGCCATCTGTTTTCATTTTGCAGTGTTGTATGTAGTGGTAACAACAGCTAACAATCACTGAGCACTCATTGTGTGTCAGGCACTGTTCAAGCACTTTCCACGTATTAAGTCATTTAGTTCTCACAACAATGAGGTAAGTACTCTTATTATCCCCATTCTACAGCTGAGGAAACAGAGACGCAATATGTTAACTGCCTTGCCAAGTCACACAGCTAAAGAGGGGAGCCAGACAGTCTGACCCCAGAGCCCCTGCTCCTATATTTCCAGCATACACCATATTGCTTGCTGTCTGGGGGTAGTGTCACATCTCCCCAAACAACATGCTAGTTTCCTCAGGGTAGAGTCTGCATCATATATGCCTCGGTGTCCTCCCTGGTGGCTAACAGGGAATCTTACCCACCACAGGCCTCCAAGCACCAGAGAGAACTGAATGGCAGGTAAATAATAACTGAGCCACTTTCTAAAACACCTGTATCACAGATGACCTTCAAGAAGACCATTTGTCCAATGAACCAAGGTGTGCCTGAAGTGAAACACAGAGAATCCCTTTCACAGGGGTGGAATATCCTTCCACCTGAACTGCACCTCTTGGGTCCTCAGAATCAGATTCCCTAAAGGCTTAAAGGACTCTGGGAACAATTCTGACCAATGTTTACATGCTTCCAGAGCCTGAACTGAGTTTAAGGCCTCTGTCATTCATTCAAATTAAAAGGCCTGCCAGACAGAAAGAAATGTGTCAGAGTTTGCCAGTCTATAGACAGTTACCATTTCCTCCTGGGTGCTGACGGACAACAGCTTTCTAAAATAGATCTATTTATGCTGCCATCATCAAGAACACTTATTGAGTATGTAACTATGCAAATGGAGTGTCTCACTAAGCTCGGGATGCAGCTGATAGGACACAAACCTCATTAGCACAGACTTCATTACTTTGGACTATGTGATCATTCTTAGTAATGAATTTTATTTTTCATTATCCATAAAGAAAACAATATGCAAAATAAATGAAGAAACAAGACCAATTCATGTCCTCTACCAATATTCATTGTAAATCTATGATGTGCCAGCACCAGGGTGGCAGTCATAGATGTTATTTTGTGTAATTCTCATTAAAAGAGAACCCTGTAGTGCAGAAGGTAATGTACCCATTTTAAAACAAGTTAGAAGTCTGGAAAATTAAATTACGGTACATCCATACAATGAAATGCTATGCAACTATAATAAAACCAATGGAGTACATCAGTTGGTGTTAACATATTAACAAGAACAAATGCTGAATGAAAAAAAGCAAGCGGTAGAACCCTCTTTAAAGTATCTCATTTGTATTAAAAAACAACAAGAATAGATTATAATGATGTATACATACATAAATGGATATACAGTGAAATTCTCAGGAAGGTCAGTCAAAATAAATGGATGGTCTAAGATGGAAAACTCAGTTTTCACTGTACTTCCGTAACATGGAGTTCTTTACCATTTTCATGTTGCTGTTTACATTATATTAAACCTAACAAAAAGAGGCTAGCATTAATTATTATTTATTGGCCCATGCCTAGTGCAATGTCTAGCATATAATTGGAATTACAGTGTTAATTGCATGAATGTAAAGAAATGATGCCACTAATTACCATCTAAACACATTTATCTTTTCTATTCATACATCAGGTCCCACCCTAATATTAAATGCAAAAACACTCTGGAGTAAATTCAAGTTCCTGTATGTGCTTAAAGAAATAGACTTGCAACAATTTTGAAAGATATTCTGTAATTCATCCTTCTTTATGTTCCCTACTCTCTCCTTTCTCAAGCTCTACTCTCCACACAGGTGCGCGCGCGCGCACACACACACACACACACACACACACACACACACAGGCATGCAGAGTCAGGTAAACAGTTCACTGACCCCCAAAAAAGGACTGGAGTTAAGAAATGTTTTACCGCTACTGCTCGAGGTTTGGTATGATCAATAATTTTTTTAACCACATGCTGATTTGAGAAAGGAAAGTCTATAACCACACATTACCACTTTATTGGCACTACCGATTAATTTTCCAAGTGTAATTTGAAAAGAGTTGGTGCAGATTCATTGGAAACAATCTGCATTATTCCTAATAGGAACCACAAACATGTTCTAAATAGTCAGAGCAACCCTTAAGCATCTTGCAGGTCTATGAACACTTACCTCCCAGATATCAAGTTCTTAGGTATACCTAACACGTGCAGCTGCTCCCTCCCGCTGCTATCTCCCTGCATGAGTGTCGGCAAGCCAGGGAATTGGAAACTGACAGTTTTGTTTTCTCAGTGCTAACAAAGGGGAACAAATTACGTATTTTCCCTGAGTGTGCAGTGTGTTGCTTTAAATTTTGTCAGAGTTTTTCCCCTAGCAGCAGCAACCAGGAGAAAAAGAAAAAGACATCTGGTAACTTCTTTAGGATATATCTTAACAGATTTGTGGGTGTGACTCTACTCAATCTGTTTCATAAATAAAACCCAGGCAATGGCATCAATTAAAAATCTTTCTAAAGATGGTTTTAACAAGAGCAATATCGTGGAAACTACAGTCCCAATATCCTAATAATCACAAGTGCCACCATGTATGGAACATGCCTGTGTACTGGCACTGTGGGGAGCACTTTACCAGTAAGTAGCAGCTTACTTCACACAATTCTATGGGGTGCCATTATTATCCCCATTTTGCAGATGAATAAACTGAGGTTCATTGAGATGAATTAGCCAGTATAAAGTCATACAGCTAGTGAGTGGAAGCACTGGGATTCAAACCAGGTTTTAAAGAACTCCAAGCATTCTGGAGCTCTGTGTTCCATCTATGCTCAATGAGTTTATCAGACAAAAAACAGTAAGAATTAGAGGAACAAGGAAGGAGCCATTCTCTGTCTGCCCCAGAATTGATAGTCTATGACTTTCGGCACACAGGCCAGGTTTGGCAGATAAAACAGTGGGTCTGGCATTAGGAATCCCAGAATCGCTGTCCTGACTCTACCATGAACAAACCTGCCTGTCTCACTTAACCTGTGTAAGTTTTGTTCTCCACAGCTGTGAGATGAGGCAGCTGGATGACAATCTCCCTCAGCTTAAAAACTGCATCTATGAAGCCAGGCACAGTGGCTCATGCCTATAAGCCCAGCACTTTGGGAGGACAAGGAAAGTAGATCATTTGAGGTCAGGAGTTCAAGACCCGCCTGGCTGACATGGTGAAACTCCATCTCTACTAAAAATATAAAAATTAGCCAGGTGTGGTGGTGTATGCCTGTAATCCCAGCTACTTGGGAGGCTGAGGAAGGAGAATCGCTTGAATCCAGGAGGCAGAGGTTGCAGTGAGCCGAGATTGTCCCACTGCGTTCCAGCCTAGGCGACGGAGTGGGACTCCATCTCAAAACAAAAAACAAAAAACAAAACAAAACAAAAAACAAACTGCATCTACAAGGATAGGTGTGTAGAAACATTTTGCTGGGATAGTAAAGCAGGAAAAAATTGAATGTAAGCCACAGGGTGCACAATTGAGCACATAATGTCCACTTTGCAGAGAAAAACCCTGACAGATGGCATTAATCAGCAGTCAGCTTCCAATGAAATTGCACCAATGACCTCCAGTGGCCACTGCTAAATCCAGTGGGGTCAATTTGTGGTCATCTCAATGGACTGATCAGCAGAAATCCACAGAATTAACATTCTCTCCTCTTGAAATCTCTTTAGTTGACTTCCAAGACACTACTCTCTACTATATTTTCCTCTTCCTTCCTGGATGTGCCTTCCAAGTCTCTTTCGCAACTTTGTCCTCATCTTCCCCACTCTTGGCGTGCTCCAGAATTGAGTCCCAGACTTCCTTGTCTACAGTAACTCTGTTGGTGCTCTCATCCAATTTCAGGGTTACATGTAAATGCAATCCACACGCTGATGGCTCCCAAATGTGCAATCTCTACCCAGAACCAGACTTTTACTTCCAGTTACCTACTCAACACCTCTGCTCAGACTAATGGGCATATCATGCCCCCAAACGAGCTCCTGTATCTCCCCAACTCTGCCCTCAGAGCCGTTTCAATAAATGGGCCCTCAGCCCTTCACGGTGCTTTTCGCAGTGCCAGCTTGTCTGCAGCCACCCCAGCCAGCTCCAGCTTACGCACTTACTATTCCCATGACTTAGTGACTTCACCAGGTATCCACGAGGCTCCCTCTCTCACCTTTCTCCAGTAATTGTTCAAACATCACCTTTTCAGTGAGGCCTTTCCCTGATCATTCCATTTTAAATTGTAACCCATCCCTCAAAGTACCATCTTTCTCTCCCCCTTGCTTTATTTTTCTCCATAAAATTTTATCACCTGACATATTTTATATTAGATTCATGTACTTCTTTACTGCCTATATTCCCCAACTAGAATGCATGCTCCAGAAAGAGGAAAGAGTTTGTCTGTCTTATTCACTGATGTATCTCCAACACTGAGAACAGTGTCTGGAACATAGTGGGCATTCTTTGGTGAAAAATGATGTAATCTACAAGCATCCGTGCATAGCCTGAGTACACCAGAGCATGCATAGTAGCCGTTTCTCTGTGAACAGGAAAATGATGAAATATCTGTCTCAGACACTAGTTTCTTTTCCTCTTGTCTAAAAACTGGGGTCATTTTTGGATACAAGAAGTATATTATAGTGCGCCATTTAGACTTCACAGTCCCAAAGAGCAAAGATAAAATATAATAATATCATAAAAATAACTTTGAAAAATAAATTAAAATCAGTGTGTTGTTTTCATGTGTATATTAATTTTTAACATATATAATATATAATATCTACAGAGAGAAACATAAATTTTTTTGCATAAAATTGGGGAATTAGCCATGCCAGGATTTCTATGGTAATCCTGAAACTGTCTTTATGTATCAATAGCCAATATGCTATTCGTTTATCTATAGCTAGTTGTGTATCTCTATAGCTAGTTGTGTATTTTTCTTTTTCTTTTTTTTTTCATATTTGAAATCTTGTATTTCACCTACCATTACCCTGTAATGGCAAATGATGGTCACTGAGTTAGTGGTCAAAGCTCAGACATTAGCATCAAAGAGACTGGGCCTAATTCACAGATCCCATCGATGAGAACTCTGCCAACTTTCTTGACTCCTGATATACTCATAGGTTCACCATCTAGCAACATTTCTGTGAGGATCAATGAGATAATCCACATAAAACCCTTAGCACAGTGCTTGGCACACAGGAAGTATTCAGTATACACTAACTATTATTAATCTTCAGACCTTATCTGACATCTTTGGCTCTCAAAATTCAAAGGTCTTACAGATCTCAAACGCAACTCCTGCCAGCTGCAATGAAATACAGTCATGTGTTGCTTAACAACGGAGCTTAATGGCAGGGCTACATTCTGAGAAATTTGCCATTAGGCTATTTCATCACTGTGTGAACATCCTAAAGTGTACTTACACAAACCTAGATGGTATAGCCTACTACATACCTAGGCTACACGGTATAGCCTATTGCTCCTAGACTACAAACCTGTGCAGCATGTTTCTGTATGGACTGTTGCAGCCAGCTGTAACACAGTGGTAAGTATGTGTGCATCTAAACATGTCTAAACATAGAAAAGGTAATGCATTGCACTGCAACGTTATGATGGCTATGATGTCAGTAGGCGATAGGAATTTTCAGTTCCATTATCTTATGGGATGACCATCCATTATGGACCAAACTGTCACTATGTGGTGAATGACTGTATTCCCTTCTTCAGTTTATACCTAATGAAAATGCACCCATTTTCAGTAAACACAAACAAAACGAATCACCTTAAATGTCGTAATAATACATGTGAATGTAGGTTTTAAAGACAAAATTATTGAGGGTTAAGAACTGGCTGATAAGTAAATGAACCAAGTGTTCGCATCTGAAATAACATAGAAGGAGGTAAAGACCATGAAGAAAAGAGGGAAGAAAAATATTTTCTAGAAAAGGGGTGAAATGAAAAATCAATCAGAAGGTATAGGTTCCATGCATTCTTTTAAAACAGTGACAAAAATAATAAATAACACCTGCATAGGTAGCATAGATAAGAGTGTCCGGCATCATTTCAAGGGCATTATGTGTATTAGCCCATTTTGTCCTCACAACGTCCTCTCAGTGGGTACATTATTATCCCTGTTATGGGGCACAGAGAGTAACATGTCCAGCAGCTGCTGAGTGGCAGAGTCAGGATTTGAACCAGGCAGGGCAGGTCCAGAGCCCAAGCTCATAACCACCACAGGACATATGTCCTCATGTATATTCCCTGATTTCAGAGAGAGAGGTGTGTGTTGTTATTCTTTGGGAAATTGCTCCTTTCCCTGACCCTATGTGACTCCAGAAGGCTTGAATCTTCCCCTTACCCTATGTAAGCCACAAGTTGGTGGGGGGCATTGGTGACCCAACATGACCAAACAAGGTCCATTCTCTGAATTTTTTTTCTACTGAAACTGGGAAGAAACTCTCCTTATCTTCCCTTGGACTGAGAGCTGTAAGGCTATGATCCCAAAGTGACCAGGACCCTTTTGCCCCATGGATTGGAGGTACAAGGAAGTGCTTAAAGCATGGGCCCCTCCATGAACAGGGGCCGAAATGAGAGACAGACAGACAGACAGAAAGAGGGAAGGGGTAAGCTGTTTACGTCCCTGGATCCAGGCATCCCTGAGGTCTGCTGTACCTCCTTCTGTCTAAGTTCCATGTACCTGAGTCAACTACTTTCTACCTTGTTATTTAAGATATTAGTTTCTGTTGCTTACAGCAGAAGAATCCCAGGGAACACATTTAATTAGACATTTAACACCTCCAGGATGAGCTGGAGAAAGCAAGCTGCCTGCTAGACAATGAAGTAGGTTTACAGCTAAAGGAACATAGGTTCCTAGACAGAACATGCATTTTCTGAGTGCCCATCCTCTGTCCAGCACCATGCTAGACACAGGGGAATCATGAGAAATGACACTGTCCTTGTTCTTGAGGAGCTGACAGTCTAAGGTAAGAGGACACATATAAAAACAAATAATCACAAGACAGTGAGCTAGATGGTTAATAGAGTTACTGCCTCAGGGTCTTTGTACTTTGTTTCCTTGCTATAAACACTATACTCCCAGATCCGTAACTGTCCAAGGCTGGTGTATCAGTTTGCTAGGGCTGTCATACAAAGTACTATAAACCAAGTGCCTTAAGCATCAGAAATTTATTGTTTCACCATTATTCAGGCTAGAAATCCAAGATCAAAGGTGTTGGCAAGATTGACTCCTTCTGAGGGCTGTAAGAGAGAATATGTCCCACCTTTCTCTCCTAACTTCTGGTGGGTCTCTTGGCCTGTAGATCTCTACCTTCATCTTCGCATGCCATTCTCCCCATGTGTTATCTGTGTCCAAATTTCTCCTTTTTCTGAGGACGCCAGTCATACTGAATTAGAGACCCACTCTATTCCAGTATGACCTCATCATAACTAATTATATATGCAAGGACCCTAATCCTAAATCAAGTCACACTCTGAGGGACTGCGGACTACAGCTTTAACATATTAATTTTTACGGGACACAATTCAATCCATAACAGCTGGCTTTGTCTCACCATTCAAGTCTCAGTCCAAGTATTACCTCCACAGAAAGGCCTTCCTTGACCACCCAATTGAAAGAAGCTCTTCCCCAACCACCAGTCACTCTACCTCATTGCCCTACTTGACTTTCTCCATGCACTTAACCACTAGCAGAAACGATCTCGCTTGTTTGTCTTTGGTCTGCCTCTCTACACAAGAACGTAAACCCCATGGAAGCAAGGACTTTGTCTTGTCCACTTGTCTCCAGAGCTGAGAGCAGTGCCTGTGACACATGGTGGTGCTCAGTCAATGTCAGTTGAATAAATACATACATAAGTTAAATGAAAATCACTTGGCCATTCATAAACATAACGCCGGGGAGTATCACAGGGAGTACCACAGCTATGAATAAAAGTCAAGCAGGAGAAGAGGGTAGAGAAAGGTGTGCTGTTCTGAGTATGGCAGCCAGGGTAGGCTTCTCAGGAGTTGACACAGAAGCAGCAAGAGCGGTTTCAGTGAGAGTGAGGCTGATGGTCTGACTGGGGTAGGACCGAGGTGTGAACAGGAAGTAAGGAAGTGGAGACAGCAAGGAGACATGCCACAAAGGGAAGCTGAGAG